GCACTAGGGTACATAGAAGTTAGCTTTCGTCGAACACTAGTGGACAAGAATATGTTTACTGTTCACTCTGCGGCAACAATGTTGTATTCAGTTATTAAATACTATACAACGTTTTGAATAATTTAAATGATCTAAGCTCTTATTTAACGACAAACGTAGCGATGTAACTTGTAATGAAATTACCATTTACCTTAAAATGGATAAATTCAGTGAGTAAAGAAGCTTCAACTGGATTGAAATACTAATGCTTGCCAAATTTTGAAGGGTAAATTGGTCATGTGTATGGCAAATGAAGCGTGAACTGAAAAGCTAGGAAGCTTTGGACAGCTGTTTCGACTTGGCTGGGTTTCATCAGCAATGCGAGTCCATCAAACCAACTGGTGATCGAATCCGGGACCTCACGGGTAGAACACAAGCGTACTCGCCCACCGGGTAGTTGATCAGACTGCTCCTCATTTTGATATATACCGTTAAGCACAACCCAACTTGGCGGGCTTGTAGCGAGACACGATCTCGCTCATCTCTACACGAAGCCACGGCTTTCCTGACAGAAGTGAATGATGGACTGGCTCGCCGTGGTGTAGGATTGAGTCATGTGAATCCGGCTGCCCGGTGGATTAATGGGTAGTATGCTTGCGTTCTACCTGTGATATCCCATATTCGAATCATCATTTGGGTCGATGGATTCGCACTGCTGATGAGACCCAACCAGGTCGAATCAGCTGTCCAGTGCTCTGAAGCTTTTCAACTCATGCCTCATTTACACGAAGAGTTTATCTTATAATAATTGGCTTATCACATGATTACTGGTATTATCTAAAACATAATTGGTCTTGGACTGTTTTCGCGTATTCTCCTCGGTTCCAGTGAACGAAACGCACACACTATGGAAACTAAACTTTCCGCGAGAATTGGTAAAAACGACGCAAAGAAAATGATAGCCGAGTGAACTTGAAATTGTTCTTAATCAAATGGTTGCACTATAATCAAGTACGCCTCTCTATCTTTCTTCTAGATCATTTAGGCCCCTTGGAAATCCATTCAATGTGGCATGATGTTTTATCGCAAATGAATAAAACCGTAGTTGACTGAAAGCCTCGAGCCTCGAGTAACCTTATCCCGGTATCTCCAGTTTACGGTGCGGTCATGGTAACCAAAGCTCGCTGGGTCTATACAACAATTGGAAGATACTATTTTCTGAGTTGTATGTGGCTGGAAACCAATTTTAATGGTTTTATAATATAGATAACTGACTAAAAACAGAACTCTCCAGAAACGCTGAATGGGTTTCTACCAGACAAGGATTACTGGAGTATCGATTAGCGGGAAGTACGCCAAATGCTTTTCGACAAATTTGTTAAATTGCTATTTGATTGTGGTTAAGCCTCAACTGCATCGTAGGAATAGTACCGCTACGGAACTCAAAATACATTGTGTTCACTCCTTCATTCAAACACTCACTAAAGTTAACCCTGCGAAAATGATCCGCTATGTGGCACAAGAGTGCATTAAGACCATAACACATACACACCCATCGGCTCCTGGCAATGCGAAATGAATCCCGATAACCAATTTACGTAGCAAAGTTTGGTCTGACCTGATCATTCAGTTGCGTCCAACAGGATGCCATATGAGAACAGCTTCACCACGAACATCGAGGGTGGCCTTCGTTGGTATGCGTAAAGCACTGCACGAACCGCTTACTGCTATGTGCAGGCTGGTACACTCGATTTTCACGGGAATTCTCATATGTATTACTTGTGTTAAAGTGCGTTAGTTTCATCATAATACACTTAAACGAGAAGGTGGAGGCTTATAGTTCGGGTTCACCTACACACCCGATCGCAGGTGCTCGTGACAGTCATAGGATTTGGGGAGACTGTTTGTTTTATAAATGCAAGCGCAAACGCAAGCACCCTCAATGTCCTGGGGTCGCTAACTTGCCTGGACATTCGAAGGTGCCTGAATGTGGCAGGCTTGATCGATGTTTCGTACAAACAGGCACACAGACGCACACACTTTGCATTCCTCTGGCATACACTATAGCCCGGATTAAAACACCCCGAAATCCACTGAATGACCGGAGGAGGTTGGAGCAGTTATGTTACAAATGGGAATCTAAAATGTCATCGAATAAATGCGACGAAACTAATGTGAACTTGGCGATGCTGTTCGGCGAGTGCGTGTGTGTATGTGTGTGGACGCGGTCAAATGGAATTTGTCATTCGTAATGAACGGGTATCACTCTCAGGGCGGCTGTGTGTTGACGTGATACGGATCAGGCGGTGCAAATCATTTTCGTTCTGCTCCGGGATGACAAGATCACTTCGAACTGCCGCCACTAGTACTACTAATACCAATCTAAACTCCGAACAGATGAAAACGGCCGGCTGGTTTTAGCCAACTTGACCAAGTTCTTCAAATGACTCGATTGCACGACACGATGATGCGGTAGTCCACTCGAGTCCCACAATGTGAATGATTGTGTAGCAGGGTGTGGTTTGCCATAGTATGTGCATATTTTGGTACGGAGGCGGGGGTGAAACACCGCCGCAGATGTTCCGAAATGATGACAATGCACTTGGCCAAATTTCAACCGAAGTTAAATAAAACCCTAGGATAACGAGGATGCGATCAAGGGGCACATTTCTTGTTGTAGCATAGCGGATGGATTCGGAGTTGGAGAGAATGACTAGGAAGCAGCCCTTGACTGTTTTCTTTTCGAGCAATTATTGTTTCTGGCTCAGGAAACCATATATCATTCTGCATTTCTTTCATTTCAAACGGGTAGGTTGTTTTTACCTTGGAAATATCACTGTTCCATAGAGAAACATTTGCATCCTGTCAAATTTACTATAATGTTCGAACTTCCACAAAAACACGGGCATTCATTCTATCAACCCGTGGGTCAACATCGACATTATTCTGTAATGAGAACCGAATGTGGAGCAAAACTAGTTCATTGTGAATGTGTCTAGGGACACAGGTCGGGGTAATCACGTGATGTTAGGCGACCCATTGACCGGTGGACTGTTAATGCCTTTATGACACTGGAATGGATTAAACACAGATGAAATGTATTCGGTAAATCATGAAATAGTGCTTCCCTGAAATGGTAGCATTAAGATGTAAGATGTCTTGTGCGTTTTCGCAGTTAGTTTCTACAAGAGGAAGGAACAGTGAGTATTTGGAAAATAGGATTGAGAATGAGATATTCTGCGGTGTCAAGTTAGGTCACATCAAAGTAAGCTTTATGCACCCGTAGGGTGAATTTTCAGCGGTTTTATCTCGGTAATACAATGGAGCTGAGGTGAATGGTCTCTGAGTGTGAATAGCTTAATTTAAAAATAAACAACAAAAAACTGAACGCAGGAAAACGATAGTGACGGATAAAAAAAAATGAATAAATAAACTATATCATGAGGTGTTCCACCAAACCTGTAATAACAGGTGCCTGAATTACTAGAAAGCAAGCAAGAAAAGGGAGGATGCTGTTTCTGTATGCGACAGTGCATGCGGGAAGCAGCCTATAATGAGAGCGGGTACGGGGGTTTGACATGGATTTAGTAAGTTCTTTGTGCAAGCAGTGATCTTCCTTGTTCAAGATTCGGTCAGCTATTCTTTCACATGCGTTGATATGTTTGCACACAAAAAAATCATCCAGAACTTCTCTGGCTATGCCGCTACATAGAGAAAGGAGTGTAATAGACCTGGAAATTAATACGAAATCATTTTCTTTTAAGCCTGGGGAAAAATACAGGGGAACAGCAGAGTCAATGAAGGAGGATGGATGCTACCACGAATTTAAAAATTACGTTTGGGGGAACAGCAAGCTTCCTAAGCCTGAAAGCATAAAAAGAGAGTTTACGAGCCTTGTTGTAAACGTTCTCTACATGTAAGGTCCAAGAGATGTTGTTGGGTAAAAAGATTTCGAGGTATATAAAAGAGTCAGCTTCGAGAATGCTGTGACTGTTAACTACTAGATCCGGTAGTTTGATAGCGGGGGCCAGATGTAAGGCTGAAGGGAACGTCGACATATTTGGAAACATTAAGCAAAAGTGATCGGAGTAAAGGCCAACTAAAAACGTCATTCAGACTGCTTTGATGTTGGTGGAAAGAGGCATCAGTATTGGAGGGGAACCCAATCACCACATCGTCGACATACTTACAGGCAATAAAGTTGGTGGGGACAGGCAGGTGGTTTATGTACAGGGAAAAAATAAGGGAGACAAATGTCGCCGTGGAAGACACTAGAGTTAACAGAAGAAGAGGATGACGTTTTACCATTGCATTGGGTAAGTTGTGCCCTAGAAGAGAAGTAGTTGA